TCTTCCTCTTCCTCTTCCTCTTCCTCTTCCTCTTCCTCTTCCTCTTCGTCTTCTTCCTCTTCCTCTTCCTCTTCCTCTTCTTCTTCTTCTTCTTCTTCTTGCTTGGGGTGGCCACTTCTCAGGGTCCCAGAGTTTGTTGGTCACATGGTGTTCCATCATGGTTTGCGCGCAAATGTCAGACCGCACTAGCGGTTGAAAGAGTTGTGACGAGTCCTTGTAGGACAGTCCCGTGCACTCGGGCCCCTTTGCGCTCGCTCAATTGCGTCCTGGACCTCAAACTCGTTTCCGCGCCTCCACCATCTCCGCCTTCTGCGCGCACGCTCTCTGTATGCTGTCAAGCAGGAGACTTTGGTGAGGAAAATTGCCGTCTTGCACCCCGCGTGAGTTTGCCCAAGGTCACGACCAGGAGGAAAGCCTCCCCTATCAAATTTCCAACACTTTGTGTTCAAGGTCAGCCTGTCCTTCAGAGTCGGCTGCGCATGGAAGGTCCTGAGCCCCCAGCCATGGAAACCTGCTGGCTCCACTGTAAATGAGACAACGCGACCGCGGACGGGCCACCTTCAGCCAAAACACCGGAGTGTCAGGTAGAGCTCCGCTACTAGTGTGAAACTGGCTGCACCAGGCGGTCAGCGGGCGATCTTTTTCCAATTATAGGAACCCACATGTTGCACATGTCTGTACAGTTGACACACCCCTTCACACCCTGGCGTAAACCCTGACATGGATTCACATAGCTCGAGGGTAGCGGGGGTAAACAAAGGCTATGATCGGTTGCCAGAACGCCACATCATGTACTCGTGAAGGGATTGTCGCCAAAACGTTTCCAAGGGCAAAGGTCCAAACTCAACCAAAACCCAGAATGGATCTGCTTACGGTCTTACGATTACCTTGCGAACCTTTCTGGCGACTTGAGATTCGCTGTCGCTGAGATCTCTAGCCAATCGGACAGGCCCAAAGCATCCACTGTCAACTCTGAGAAAAAGCTGATGCCTCTCCAAAATGAACGGAGGACCGCAAGAACCCAAATTGATTGGCAACAAGAACACCTGCACCGACGATGCTCAACCGCAACGGTCAGCTTAACCTTATCTTATCGATATCAGCGCCTCACTCAAGGGAGGTGGAGACTCGAGCAGGAGAGAGTTGAACCCTCAACCCAAAATTGGAGTTTATAATCACGGAGTTGGTCCCTACCCTAGCTGCTAGCTTTTGCGGTGTTGTCGTCTGAGTTTGCACCGGAAAAGGGAAGAGTAGCACAACTGCACTGCATTGCAATGTCCCTGAAACAGCAAACAAAGTGTCCTCCGCGTTCTTGATCAAGCGAATGCCTTCCGCGCCAAGCTCAATAGCCTCAGCCTCGCAACGGGCGGCTTTCTCGTCTTCTTTTTGCTTTTGTTGGAGCTGTAGCGCTGCTCGGCTTCTGAGGTCTTCTTGACGTTGGGCGTACTCTGTCTTCTTGGCATCTTCATCAAGCTTCCTTCTCGCTTCCCTCTCCTCAATCGACCTCATCTTCTCCTCTCTGTGGGCCTTGTCAATGGCATGCTTTTCTTGCGTTTGCGCCCAGTCAAGCGTGTCTTGCTCCGCTTTTGCTTTTCTTTCCTGTTCCTTAAGCGCGTCTTCTCTCCTCTCCTTTTCACTTTGCCGCTCCCTCTCTGCTTTCCTGACAGCGCAAAGTGACCAAAGCCAAAGCCCACCAAAATATTCGAGGGCGAAACAACGCAGGTCGCTGAAAAGAAACTTGAGACAGGGAAACACGAAAGGTAGAGAGGTACCAGGAATATATGTGAGGTGTATCACGTGTGTGGGCGTTTAGTGTGTGGTGTGTGAAAGAAATGCCTTATGTCGGAGAGGAGGGGTTGCTACAACATGTGGCGTGGTGTGGCGCACGTGGAGGCTTGTCAACACTGGCGCATGTGAGAGCTGCGGTGTGTAAGAACTGCCTGGCGCCAAACTGTGCTGCGCAAGTGCGGTCGTATGTGGCGCACGCGCGCTCCGCATAAGAGCAGCCTGGGTCGCGAGGAGAGGTTGCTAACATGGCTTTGCGTACATGGCGGTGTTGCGTCAACGCTCGTTTGCGTAGAGCAATATGGTGTGTGAACCCTGGCTTGCGTAAAGGTTGCGGCGTGGTGAGGTTCGTCAACACGGCTTTGCATAGAGGGCTGTGTTGCGTCAACGCTAGATTGTGTAGAGCAATTTGCTGCGCGAACGCTAGCTTGCGTAGAAGTTCCGGCTTGTAAACGCTGGCATGTGTAAGAGCTGTGGTCCCAGAGCTGCATGCGATTTGTCAAGACCGCAGATGTGCACGCACTGCGTCGAAGCCGTGTTGCGCAACCTCATTGTACAGGCACTGCTGTCGCTCCCAGTGAATGGACATCACACTATGGTGGTGCTGGCGAGCGCGGGGGTCACCAAATAATTGATTAATCAATTATTCATCACATTGGAGGGGTCACTAGAATTCATATAATTATCAATATTTAGTCCCGAGCAGGCTGTTCAAGCTACCCCGTTGCTTCGCAAAGCAAACTCAAGGTAGCCCTTCCCAGGACACCTTTCGTGAAATGCGCTGGAAGCATACATCCCTTCCCGACGCCGTCGTCAAAAAAGTCTTGTCTGGGCTTGAGGGACCGATATCACAGCCAAAGTCAGGCTGCTGGGCAAACGAGGATGTGCAAACGAGCCACATGTCTTCAAACTTCCTTTGCTGTTCTCTCTCCTGACGGCGCCTGACCAAACAACCGAGCAGGCTATCTATGCCATGCAATTTATCTCTGAAAGCATGGCACCCGCCTCTGCTCGTCCTTCAATCTTTGACGTTCGATCTCATTTCTCTTCTCCATGACTTGTTCCAACTTTTGAAGCTTTTGGCTTTTGTCTAGATTCTGAGGGCCGCCCTTTTCCCAGACTTCTTGCAGCTGCCTGCATATCTCATCTGGCAACCACAAATTCCCCTCTGGCTTGTGGTCCTTCTTGAAGTCTTCTACCAGGCAGCGAAGCTCTTTCTTGATCCGGTCCAACCACCAAGCCTGAATCAAGGTCCAGTCCCCCCGAGTCTTCCAGCAAAAATATACCAACAGGTACAAGTCAGGGATATTCACAAAGCTGCCCTTGGCAGAGTTGCGATTGTTGGTGACCGCCGCAATCCGCAAAACGTCGACAATCTGCTTCAATCGCCGATCTCCAAGACGACCACCGCCTTCTACTGTCATCTTCTTAGATGCCGCCGCACGCTCTTCATTGGCGTCAAGTTTGCGGATGTACTCTATGAACTCCAGCAGCATCTTGTAGGTCGTGACTTTTTCCACTTCCGGTCCTTCGAAGGTCAAGACCACAGGTGGTTCATACTTGCAGTCGTTGGCCTGATGAAATCACAGACTTCCCGAGCACGACGAATACTGATATTTGCAAACAACACAAAACACAAAACCCCGCAAAAATACAGAAACGGGCTACTCTGCAAGGCACCTGCACGCACGCAAAAGCACCCACACCCACACACTTAAGATTAAGCGTACTGAACTGAAAGCGGTTTGCCACACGCCGGCCGAGGTGACCATTTCCTAAGAGTGCAAGCAAGAACCACCGGACCTGGAGGTCTTCAAAACGAGAAGGGGCCAAAAGCACAAGGCGAAACCGAACCGAAAAGGTGACGACGTACGCTCGTGTCTGCCAAACTCGTTCGCCCTTTACGAAAATGTTGAGTGACAACTTGTTCAAAAGTTCAAAAAGCAGGTACGCACAGCTGATCAGGCTGCATATCCTGAGGTCACCATAGAGAGCTTCGTTGGGCACAGCTCTATGGGCCGCCTGTGCCCGCCTGCTGAGAAAACTCAAGAAACAAGAACAATCCGACAGGATCTGTGTGATTCCAAGGGGCGCACACTTATAGAAATGCGTACTGATGTGAATGCGGTGCCACACGCCAGCCTAAATCAAAAACCTAAGGATCCAAGTAAAACATCACGAGAAACCTACAACTCCTCCAAGCTCAAATCCTTCAAGCTCAAACGCTTCAAGCTCACTCTCCAAGGTACAGGCAAATGCATGACTGCCGATGCAAACAGATGCGATAGCTGGAATTCTTGTTCTAGTTACAAGCAGGGCCCACGATGAAATTTCTGCAGTAAAACTGCAGGTACGTCTGGCTGAGAGTCCACGTAGTAAAGCACCAAGTTAACCTCCCAGACCCGCGAGTCGCCAGAAGAGGGCAGGGCCATCCAGAAGGATGAGCGATTCTGGCCCAAGCGGGAGAAGGTCACATCCTTGAGATCATCGACCGTGTGCTCCTTGTCCGCAATCTGAGCTGCATCCAAAGTCACGGTGATGTAGTTCAAGGGCTGGTGGACCAGAAGACTGATGTCAAGCTCAAAACGAACAGTGAGTAGGTTGGGAACCTGACCCAAAGTCTCAAAAGGTCGTCGAATTTCATGCCATTCAGTGGGAATAGTCTGAGTCAGAGGCTCAGGAACGCGGAGTCCAGAAGAGGAAATCATGTCTAGGGAGAATATCCCAGCGGGGCGATGAGTCGAGTTCAATGACAAAAAGGGGCTAAATGGCTGCGGTCGTCAATAAGGTGAGGTCATGAAAGTGGAGGATCAACGAAATTCTGGGAAGCACGTGAAAAAATCATCAACAAAGGGACAAAGATTGTCGAAATGAACCCGGGTCAAGGGAGAGAAGTGCAGTTTGGTTCCGTTTGGTTTGGGTCTGGTTTTTCCGTGGCACCGCAGAAGATCGAAGTGAGAAGTGGGAAGAATTGAAACAGAAAGGTAGGAAGCACTTACGGTCTCCAAGGGGATGCAAATGGGCAATCAATCAATCGGGGTAGCGTGGGAGGTGGCCAAATCGAAGAGGACGTCAACGATATAGATCCAGATCCTGAGCTCGGTACAGTCGGTGCCAGCGACCTGGGAAGGGCCAGCGGCCTGAGAAGGTTCCCGACGCGGGGCTGAAAGAACAGGGCCGACAACAGTGGCGGCGAAGACAGAGCGGCACACCCTTAGACAATGGGTTTGCAGTTACATCAATTCGCCGAGGAAAAGAGTGGCTCAACGGAAAGGTGAAGCGTCCAAGCACTTGAAGGTGTTTCAACAAATGCTCTGCGCACATCTGCAGCTCACGAGAACAGCGGTGTCGAACGTCAGCGCGGCTCAGCTGGAAGAAAGGTTTTGGGGGGAAGTATCACGCAAGAACCATGGAATCAAAAAGTGGAAAAGTGGAGTCACAGCGTGTAAAAAGTTCAGCAGGTACACGGAGGTGATCAATCTCCGCGTCTCCCATCGCGGAACAGCTTCGTTGGCACAGGTATCCACGATGGGCCTGTTGCGCTCTGCTTTGTGAAAACTCTTGGGACAGAGGGTGACACACACACACACCCGCGTGCGCTTGCGCGTGCGCGCACGCGCCTTGTCTTTGTTATCCGGATCGAACTGCAATTCTTTACAAAGGCTCTCCATGTTGTGACCCAACAGTCGCCATCCAGCTTGAAGTTGCTGACAGTTGAACTCATCTCCACCTTCTGGAACTGTCGTGTTCACAGCTCCACGCTGCTTTTCTTCATCCCACTGCAGTTTGCTCCACAGTTCCTTGGCATCCTTCGCATCGGCCAATACTAGCTCGTACTCCGCACGCCTCACAAAGAATCAGCCGATGAGCAACCAAGCATTCTTATCTGGGGAGCACAAACCGTGCCAATCACCAAGTTCAAGGTGAAATTCAATTCCCAACACAACACACGGCCTTTTCCAGAAAAATGGATTGACATCTCCGTCAAAACGGTGACCGTTCCGATCTGCTGGCCATCGAAGTTCCGTCTTAGCATGCTGCTGCAGCAGTTTGAAGTCTTGCAGAGCCAGGGTCGGGTCAACCTTTCCTGGCACTACTTTGTGCGAGAACGGCAAAGCATTCATGAGCCTTTGCAGGCAGTTTGTAAGACGGAGCATTCCAACTGGCACCGGTCCAAGTCAGAAAAATGCTCACCACATGAGCCCTTCTGATTGTCCAGTTGATTGTCCATTTATGAACCACATTATAACATACATTATGAGCATCTATGAATTGTGTTCGCTTCACGACTGTCAAGATATGAGAAGCATCTCAATCCAGGAACATCCAGTTGGAAGCTCGCACCCATGTCCATCGTTTGGCGGCAATGCGTGCGCAGCAATGGGGTGACATATCGCAACGCCGCCAGGCAAGCCCACCAGCCAGATCTCACCCTCATGCGTGGTGTCCCTCTCAAATTCGCAAATCTCCCTTAAACGTAAACAGTCGCGCCCCTACCTGAAGTTGAAGGCACTAGTAATACACGTATACATATCTTGGTATGTAGGCCTAATTGTCGAGAGAAGAACATGTTGGCATTTCATTTGGAGAGCAAAGCTGAGGTACAGCCTTGTCAGCAGCCACATGTACACGCGCAAATCTCTTCTGCTGAACCACCAGCTCTGACACTGCTGAACACCCTGTTCCGTTGCTAGATGGTGAGCTCTGCTCACAAGTCACAAACCATCGCATCCTGTCGAAATGATTTCATTTGCCTCCCTTTCTGTCTCCGCACCTGTTTCCTTCTAGATGACTTCACCCTTGCCTCCCTTCTTGTCTCCTCACTTGTCTCCATTCTCGTCTCCCAACTGGCATCCTGCCACAAAACGATTTCATCCTTGTCTCCCAGTTTCCTTCTCTGCCACGATTTCCTTCTGGTTGTCTGTGACACTGTGCAGAGTTCTTGTTATTTTGCCCATTCACTCGCATGGCAGGCACGGCGCATGGTGCGTCTCGGCTCTGTTTCGCGGGGGAGGCGAAGCGCATTCTGCATCTAGTATCCGTTCTGAGTGGCAGGGGCAGTGCACGGAGCATGTCGTGAGCATTTCGCGTGGCAGGCGCGGCACTTCGTGCAGTAAAGTAGTTGCTTCGCAGGCGGTAGCGCTGATTGCAGCAGTATGTGCCTGTTTGTGTGTGACTGTATTCCCCACAATGCACTGTCACGCGCGATCTGCGCAGGAAATGGCCTGATCAGAGTTGGTGCTTCTGAATTGCCCCGTGTTGGTTTTGACTTTGTAATTGTCGCTGTTGCAACTTCATAGTGTCGACGGTCTTCTCTGGTGTTCTGGTGTGTGGTGTTATGTTAAGTTCGCGTTATGGTGTTGCAGTGATTCAATTCTCGTGGTGTGTCAAGATCGCGTTTGTCGTTGTGGTGCTTCGATTCTCATTGGGTCTGCATGGCTGCAGGAACTTAAGTTATTTATGAGATCGACCGGTAGGCAGCAGGGCAGAGCCCAATACTACCGGACCTGCAGTGGAGTGGCGCGAACCCACCACTCACTCCCTGTCGCTCACTCACTCACTATCACTGTCACTTGCATATTGACTTTCACTCGTTCATATCACTCTCGCACTTGCTTACTCATTCACTCATTCACTCTCACTCACTCATTCGCGATCAATGCTCCGTCTCATCTTGTCATCTTTCCTAACCTGTCCCTCTTCCACCCGTTCACTTCTGCCCTTATCTTGAATTTTAACATGTAGGGTTATGTGGTGATCTGCGCTCAGAACATGTTGTTAGAATGCTTGGTGAACCTTCGCTTGTCATTGGCATGGTTCTGAAATGTACGCTTGTAATTGTATTGCTCGAAATGCACAAATGAATCTCTGCAACACACAGCAGCACGCTTTTGAAAGGACAGGTTTTTGCCCGTGAAAAAAACAGCATGACACGGGCTTGTACGCTCAAAGTGCATGAAAGCGCGGGGATGCTTGGAAAATGCACGGTTTTGTGATTGAAAACACCACGTCGTGTTTGTGAGAACGAGCGTTTGTTTTCTCTAACTACAATTGTTTGTTTCTGACAAGCCAGAGTTTTGACTGTGGAAGTGCAACGTCATGTTTCTAAAAACATGCGAATGTATTGATCGAACTGCGCGAATGAATTTTGGATAATATACTGATATACTACGGCTACATATGTTTTCCCAAAGGCATAAAATTGCCTTGCGACATGAAACCTCTGTTTTTGTGTTTGTGTATGGCATGCCTACCACCTGAACAAATGGTGTTTGGGGTCGATTCTGGTGTAATTGTGTTTTGACGTGCTTTGCAGGTTCACATGCAATGAATGTGCTTGTAAGTAGCAGATCCGCGTCTGCTGTGAAGTTTTGGTAAACTGAAACACTGTGCAATGTGATCCCAATAATCCATATACACTGAACTCCAGCCTGGGTCGCCAAATTTTGTATTCATGATTTGATCGAGAGGGTCACCTGCCCAAAGAGTGGTAATCGCAAAGACTGCACACACCTGGTCTGTTGAGAACACCACGACGATAAAAACCAAAAATGGGCCCACTAATCTCGCCTTCCTTGACATAGTCCACAAAAACTCGGATAAGGAGCCTCAAGCGACACACAAAGCGCGCTCAGAAGACCTGGCTGTGCTCTATTTGAGGCACTGACCTGTCGGTAAGTGCCCCAGCAGAAGCGTCCAGAGGAATTTCGTTGCTAGCGACAATAGTAGTTGCCAATGGCAAGTCCGTGAGCATCTGGTCACCATTCTTGAACACGCGCCTGAAATGCAAAGAACAACGCAGGCAGTGGCCATTATCAGGTCGTCGGTCATGGAGTAAGTCGGAATGGCAAAGCATATCATCGGTATTCATTCAATAGATTGAATCATGAGAGCTCTTCACTACCCTGGACTAAAGCTTTGGGTACTGCATTTCTAGAGCCGCGGAAATCCTCTCACCACAGTCTCGAAAATGTTCTGGGGGGTTGCTTTCTTTACAATGATATTAAATCTCTTCACATCGTCACTCTCACTGTGTACTAGTGTATAAGTATATATATACATACTATGAAACATTATGAAACTACTCTCGCACGTCAAAGGCCGACAAGCTGCTCATTCAGGGTGGAGAGCAAGCATGACAAAAGCGATGCTTGGGCTTTGAAGGCTTCATCCAAAAACGCCACAGACGCATAGGGCAGCATTTGCCGCACATTTCGAGTGATACGATTTTCTGCCAAGCCTGATAACTCAAAATGGTCAATTTTCGACAGTATGTAACCAGATAGTAAAGAAACCGCATTAAGCCACGCCTGACAGGCTGATAGCTCCAAATATGTCTTCCACTGTTGTGGAGGGATGGAACTGCGCCTCAAAGAACGCTTTCCCTTGCTCCTTATGCGTGTCTGAGATCATACTTGCCAGCATCTTGCACACATGGCTCTTGCCAGTTCCAGGAGGACCGAGAAGCAATGCATTTTGATGCGTGACCAAGGCCAGGAGGAGCATCCGGATCACTTCATCACGGTCCACTAAGCGCTCTTTGAGTAACTCTATGATGTTTTTCAGCTTGTCGTAGAGCAAGCTTGTCGCGCTTTCGGCGGATGCCTCTTCAGGCTGCGGGGTCTTTCCCATGACCTTTGGCAGGAAGTACTTGTCAGAACCACACTGCTCTCTCTCCGTATCCAATTCCTTCGTGACATTTAGCTCCCGCTCCACCTGAAAGAATGTTGAATCAGCCCACTTCTCAGAAACCAACTTTGCCAAACAAAATCATCAAAGGGCGAGAAGGTCGACGCAATTGTTTTCTTCCATCCTTTTAGACAATTCCCAGGGTAAGGGCAGGGAATAGTTGTTTAACCCTCAGACTGGATGTTGAGATGCGCGAAACCGTCAGAAAACCCCCGTGGGTGCGAAGCGAGAATTGCATTTTACATGTTGTTTGACAGGTGTCCCGGTTTTGACAAACATTGTTGCTTCGGAGCGACTTTTGTCCCAGGTTTGAGGGGGAAGCTGGGGGTTAAGGGCTGGCCACCTCGTTTCTTTAGATGTTTGCGGTCACTTATCTTCTCGGTGCGTTAATGTCGCCGTTTCTCACTGGCATTTGTCTAGGGCGATGGGGCTCAAGGTAAACAGGTTTTGGCTATGAGTTTGATCTTTCTTGTCGCGTTTAGCGCAGGTGCCGTCATCACAGGGTTCGTTAGGGCACTGGTTTTGCGTAGGCCCCTTCTTTTTTGATTGTTTGGTACAACTCCACAGCAGTACAAAGCAGTAGAACAAACACTGCGCGCTTCTATTGAAGTTAGGTTTTGCAGTGCTTGGAGCCATTTCTGCCCACTTCTCACAGCAAACTCTATTTTCAGAGCATGAACTCGGAACCTTCAAGCCTATCCCCCTTCCAATTAAGTGGGTGGGTTGGGCAAGTCAATTTTATGGTGGCTAGAACGCTGCATATGACATCAGAATTGTCAGGTTGCACGTTTACCTCTATAGAATTGCTGCTAATGAGATTGAACTGAATGTGAACCTCTATAGAATTGCTATCCACAGGTCTTGAAAACAAACGCAAACTTGCAACAAGTCCAGAAACAAGTTCTACAGAATTAGAGGGCACAGGGTACTCACTTAAGCATGTTTTCCAAGGTGTGTATATTGGGCCTCTATAGAATCGCAGGCTGTGGGTTGCAAAATCCATTTTTGTTGCGTCAATACCCACTAATATATTTCCACATTGGATGACCATGATTTATGGATGACAATGATTTTCTATAGAATTGGGATCCCTGACTTGTCAATTTCAATGGTTACCTCACTATAGAATCAGACTTCATTACATTGAAAAAATCTAATTGACAGCTCATTTACCCTCTATAGAATCGAGGCTTGTAATTACCTGATTCTCTATAAAATCAAAGTGTCTGACATACCAAGTCTAACATAGCCCCACAATTCTTGCCAAAAATATGTTTTTTTGATGGTCCCCTCTTTGATTTTGTAAACGCGCAGGGAGATCAAGCCTTACCTCCATCGGGAAACTCATATTCAATGTCTTGCAACCACTACCAGCTTGGAAGTTGCAGTCACTTGGCACCAACAAGGAATTCCTGGAAAGTAATGCAAGAAAGTCCCAGTGGCACCTGCAGAAAACATTTGAAGAACACTTCGACAGGAAATGGTCCAGGCTTGATTCTAACGCCCAGTCGAAAAATTGCCAAAATACTATCCAACACAACCAGAACCTATGTATGCGCTATATGTCCAGCAAAAGGAAAAACTTCAAGTTTCTTTACACATGTGAATGATTACGTAGGCCGAATCTTCCCCTGCGCGACTTGTTGACACCACGCCGACGAGGACTCGGGCTAAAGCAGTTGCTTGGACACAACAGCAGGGAACTGAAATAGGAAGGACTCCAAAGTGTCCAAGTCGTGTGTGAGCTTAGCCCGGCCCGCCTCCAGAAGCTATTGAACCTCCGGTGGCTCACAAAACGTATCCTACGTTGAAATGCGTTTTTCTTCACTAAATGTTACCCTCGAATGGCTCGCAAAAGATCTGCTTCCTTGGCATGGCTCCTTTCTGCTCTAAATTTTGACCTTCGGGTGGTTCACAAAAGCTACCCTACCGTGGAATGGTTCCTTCGTCCTCTCAACTTAGGTCTGCCACATTGAAATGGTTCCTTCCTGCTCTAAATTTGACCCCTTTCTGCTCTAAATGTTATTTTCGGGTGGCTCACAGAGCATGCTACGTTGGGTTCCTTTCTAGATTTCACCATCGGGCTTGTCATTAAAGGTACGGTATGCTACATTGGAATGGCTCTTGTCTCCTCAAAGTTTAACCTTCGGGTGGCTCTCACAAGGCACGCTACCTTCGATTGGTTCCTTTGTTCTCTCAATTTAGGTGTGCCACATTGGACTTGCTCCTTTCTGCTCAAAACTTTACGAGGGTAGCTCACAACAGGAATTCTACGTTGGAATGATTACATTCTTCTCTAAATTGTCTTCTCGTTCACAAAAGGCACGCTATCTCCATTTACGTCTCCCACATTGGAATCGCTCCTTTCTGCTCTAAATGTTACCCTCGGGTGGCTGACAAAAGGTACGCTACCTGGGAATGGCTCTCTCGCCCTCTCAGCTTAGGCTTCCCACATTCAAATTCCCTTCTGCTCACAAATTTTACCCACGGGTGGCTCACACAAGATCTGCTACGTTGGCGTGCCACTCTAAATTTGAGGTTTGGGTGGCTCACAAAAGGTCTGCTACGTTGGCATGGTTTCTTTCTGCTGCAGATTTTACCCTCGGGTGGCTCACAAAAGGTATGCTAAGAGAAAACAGGAGACAAGAAGAGAACCATAAAATCCTCTAGAGATCACACAGAATTAAGAAAACTCACCATAAAAAAGAAAAACATCTAGAAAAAAACAAAAGATAAAATAAGAAAACCACAAAACACACACTCGAGATATTGCGTACCGCAACTGAAAGCCACTTGCCACACGCCCTAGGCCCTAGGTATGAGCGCTGAAGAAAACCAGGGGGAAGTATGTAGAGCGGTCTCGAAGTTCTCGAAAAGCGGAAAGTGGCGACAGGGTGACGACGGGCGCTCACATCTGCAGAATGCATTAGCCCTGTATGGAAGATTGGGGTAACAGCCTGAGAACATCACAAAAGGATTGCAGGTACATCGGAGTGATCAGTTCCGATATCCTCCCGCAGTAGACTCATGAGCGGGCTGCTGCCCCCTGCGTAGAAAACCAAAAAGTTTCCTGCGACTGCAAGGGTTTCACACACACGCCTCCCGTAAAGGAATGCCACAGGAAAACTAAGGTTCAGACTAATGCGCACGCGCGCGCAAGACATGAAAAGAGGACAAGACAGACCGGGTGATGTGGATGCAATGGAAAGAAACCAAGTGACCCAGGAATACCAATGAACCAAACCTCCTTTTACAACTTGGGCGACCTGGAACCTGGGTTTCAAGTACCATTGCGCGTGTATACGAAGGGCCAGGCCGATGTATGCGCAAGAGAGAAAACGAATGAGGTGCCAAGACATGAAGACAGAAAGACATGAAACGAAATATGTAAAGGGGAAAGGGTGAAACACTTGCCACGCGCCCACCTAGGTATGAACGGTGAAGAAAACCAGGGGGAAGTAAGTAGAGCAGTCTCGAAGTTCTCGAAAAGCGGAAAGCGGCGACAGGGTGACGACGGGCGCTCACATCTGCAGAATGCATGAGCCGTTTATGGGAGATTGGAGTAACAGCTTGGGAGCGTCGTCACAAAAGGATTTGAGGGATGTCGGAGTGATCAGCTCGGATTTCCTCCCAACTCATGAGCAGCTTCT